ATGTCCATTTTTCGTTAATACAATCAATTGCCATATCCATCGGTATATTAGTAAATAATGATATTACGTCCAAAGAAATCAATTTGTATTCTTCACTTATATGCATTCCTTTTATAGTATCGACCAATTGGAAACTATTTTTTATGTGACTTTCGGCTTTAGGGACCGCTTCAAACATTATACTATGTAAATATGACGCTAAAAGATGTAGTGGACTACCAATGGAAGAGATAATGATCCTAAATGGACAATTAGCTTTATGAATTTTGGGAAGAGCATACGCCCTCGGCAGTGTCCCATCACTGATGTACAAAAATCTATATTTAGATTCATTGATGTATTCACATCTCTTCCATCTCGAAAGAATATCTCTGAGAGCTGTTGTAATTTTTTTTGTGGGATCTTTTTTTATTACAGAATATGTGTTTTTATCATTAAGCTTTTCTTTCACATTGTTAATATACAAATCTTTATCTAAAACAACTGTTGTGTTGCCTTTATCAGCATGTGTGCAGATAATGTTAGGATGAGATGACATAAAGTTTTTTGTCTCTTTTTCTAGATTTAACAATTTTGTTTCTATCGTTGATAATTTTATTGGTGTCGATACAATATTGTTTAATATTGGTAATGAGTGATTTGTTATATCCATCTTTTTGTTTATTGGTAATTTGCGTATGCTATTTTCAATATTTTTAATACAATCAAAAATGATATCTTTTTTATTCTTGATTGGCAGTGCGAAATTTTCACCAAGTTGTAAAAAACATTGTACTTCTGTCGGAATATCAACCGAAGATAGATTCACAAACCACTTATCACGATGTGAAGAGAACGAAGGCCCGACCTCATTGCTGAACAAAGAAAAAGAATCTGGACATATACTTAATGTGTGTTTTACATTATCTTTGGCTGTGTGTATATCTGACTTACAAGATGGAATTAATATTGGTTTGATATTCGAGTTCTCCTGTTTCTTTTGTTTATCTAGAAGCCAGTTTGCTTTGTATTCTTATTATATGCCTTTGTATTCTTATTAAAAGATCTTCCTATTCGAAACCAAGTGATTTAATTCTTCTTTAAAAAAATTATATCACAATTAATTTTTAAAAACTAAATGAAAAAGTTTATTATAATAAAAAAATTATTTATGTAAAAACACTTCGCGCTGCTAGTTCTCGATCTCGATGTATTAAAATACAATAATAAAGATAAGAAACATTTTCACGAGAATTAAAGTATTTAGTGTGTATAATATAATTGTAAAAATATACTTTATGTATGTTGCAGTTATTTTCTAGAACACTGTAATATTTTTATTATAATCTGTTTTACTTATATGTAGGTATGTTCATTTTGAATTTGCATCTTGAATAATCTATCATTTACTTTTCGTGGTACATTTTAATATAAAGTGTTCTAGGTAGCACAATGTGTATTCTATATTGGATGTTCTTTGATAAGGATCCAAACTGAGGATCGAAACGTGTTCGATAACTAACCTAGGTTCGGTTTTTACTAACTAACAGAATCCAGGAAAACGATGTATAACGTAGACAATATTAAGTTTTAAATTTTAATACACTTGAATAAACAATTATGATATAAATATAATGAATTAACTTACTTAAACAGATTAATAAATGAGATTTAATTAGATAAACAAGCGAGTCTATGGTTATATAAAATATGTCGATAAAAATAACGTAAACAATTAAGGAATTTAAAGATAGATAATTATGAACTATAAGAAAAAACTGTAAAGATGTATCAACATCGTTCCTGATTCAGCATACAGAAGTAGCTTCCCTCTGACAGACAGCACAGCAGTACGTTGACAGAAGTAACAGAAACGAGAATAACTGAAAATAAAAGTACTTACGAATCGGTTAGCAAATGGAATCGGCGTCCAGCCGCATGTGTATCCACAAAAAGCTGATGTGGATTGTAAGCTCGGCTTTAAGCCGCCAACCTTAAGCGTGATTTGAAGGAATGATCCTTCAACTAAATCTTATATTCTTTCTCTTTCTCTTTATCTCTGTCTCTCTAAGGTACCTGGAGATTATCAAATTGCTTCCCACCGAATGTGGAATCAATGGCTGCCTTCTTCGTGTGAATCGTATACACTTCCTTGATCTTCGAGAACGTTCCATCTATCGTATCTGTCAACTATGCTTGACCAGGCTCACAGCCTCACTTGATAATCACATCGGCTACTAGCCTCACATGAGCTCTAAGCTCCACACGATTATTAATCAATCAGCGTTAACGCGTAACTAGCTTTCTTAACAAAAATGCACAAGCAACGAAAACGATCGATCGGCTTCTCAATATGGCGACCGAAGAAGAACAACGACCGCCTCGCGAAGAAGAAGAAGCACCGCAAGCGACAAAAAGAACGTTCAGCGCCTCGCTCGGCCTTCTCGCGTATCACATTAATAAGTGCTCATGGCGGTCGTTGAGTTATCGACCGTGAGGATAAATATACCACCGGGCAAACGACCTAAACTTTAAACAAAACGTAAGAAAAATTGTATATTTTCAATAAATCGTATCAACACACATTAACATCCTGTGTACAAGACTCGATTAGGCATTTTTCTTTTTCTTTTAAATGATTATCTAATAATAATATATTAACCAGGAAAAGTAACTGATATATTATTAATCCTAACATATCATTAAAATGAAAAGGTCAAGCCATGTTCAAAAATAGATCCTCGCAAATTAAAAAACCCAACAAATTTAAACCTTTGAAAACTAACCGCAAAAATTTGATCCTTCCTAAATTAAAACGATTACCTAATCACAAAATAGAAAACCCAATAAATTTCAACCATTGAAAATTATCCCAAAAAATTTGAACTTTTCTAAATTAAAATGATTATCTAATAATGTAACATAATAATTTAAACCTTTAATACTTTAAATGATATTATCTAATATAATATATGACCACGAAAAGTAACTGATATATTACTAAATGTGCCAGTTCAAAGTGAACATACATTATGTTTTTTCTATGTTATGTACCACGAAAAGTAAATGAAAACTACAAAAATTGAACCTATCAAAATTAAAACGATTACCTAATCACAAAATAAAAAACCCAATAAATATCATCCTTTAAAAATTGACCCCAAAAATTTGTACCATTCTAAATTAAAATGATTATCTAATAATGTAACCTAATAATTTAAATCTTTAATACTTTAAATGATAATATCTAATATATATGATATATTACCGCGAAAAGTGGGATTTCCGGTTTGGAGAGTCTAGAAGTAACCTTCTAGTTAGCTGGGTGTAAGAACGGTGACAGCAAAAAGATATATAGGAAGTGAGATAGAAGTAGTGGAAAGTGAAGAGAGGAGCGAAGAAGGAGAGGTGGACAGGCGCTATAGGTCGAGTGGAGGGTGGAATGAGGAGTCGGCGGATAGGCGGGCTGAAAGGAAGAGAAAGAGAAAGGTTAGACAACATAAGCACGAATTAGAGAGAATAGAAGAAAGGCAACGTGAAGAGTTAGAGGTGGCGACAATCGTTGATAGAGAGGAAGGCGCGGATAGAGTAGAGAGAAGAAGGGAAACTTCAGGCACTAAATAGCGCGCAAGCGCAGTAGGAGGAACGGTGATTGGTGGATGACGGGGGAGGAGAAAGAGAGACAGAAATGGAAAAGTTTATGTCACAAGAGAAAGGAAGGAGAGGCAGTATAGGGACAATCGATGAGTTGTTGAAAAGGAAAAGGGGAGAGGAGAAGGAGGGGGAGGAAGGGGAGAAAAGGGCATTTGAGAAGAGCAGGAAGATAGAGAGATCTCCACCGAAAGGAGGAGGAAAAGAACTGGAAAATCTAATAAGGGAGCTTAAAATAGAACTAAAAGAAATAAAAGAGCAAGGAAAAAGAACAGAGGACACTGTAAGACAGGAGGTAGGAAGGATGAGGAAGGGATAGAGGAGAGAGAAAAGAAATGGAGAGAAGAGGAGGAAGATATGGAGAAAAGAATGAATCAGCTTGAGAAAAAGATGGAGGAGCATGAGGTAGTGATGAAGAAGAGAGAAGAAGGGAGGGAACCGGATGGCGGGGGGGAGAAGGATAAGGAGAGTTGGGCAAGGGAAGAAGACAGGATGGGAAAGATAGAGAAGAAAATCGAGATGAGGGAAAGAGAAGAAAGAAGGAAGAATATCATCATTAAAGGATTAGAAGGGAAGACAAGTGATGTGCATGTAGAGGCGGAGAGGGTCCTGAGGGAAATACTGCAGCTCAAAGTGGGAATTGAGGAGGTGAAGGAAGTGGGGAGTAGAAGAGAAGGGGGCAGAAGAATGGCGGTGGTTAAGCTCTGCAGTAAAGAGGCGAAGAGAGAAGTAATGATGAAGAAAAATAAACTAAAAGGAAGAATAGAGAGAATAGAAGATGACTGGACATGGAAGGAAAGAAAGATGCAATTCAATCTTCGGAGGATAGCAGAAGAAATGGAGAAGTGTGGCAAAAGAACGAGGGTTGCATATGGAAGAATATGGATAGACGGGAGGTGGAGGAGATGGAATGAGGATGGGGAGAGGCTTGAGGGAGCTGGAAGACATGGAGAGGAGGGAGAGAAGGGGGAAGCATAGGGAGGGCAGAGGAGGGCGGAAGAAAGAGGAACGACTGGAGAGTGAGGAGGAGGGAGAGGGAGGATGAGGATAGAGGAGGGGGGCGAGTTAAAGGTAGGGGGGAGAAGACTGGAAAATAGTGTTTTGGAACGTGGCAGGAATGATAGGAAAAGACGAAGAGTTCTGGGAAGGGCTGAAGGAATGGGATATAATAGGATTAGTGGAAACATGGGTAGAACAAAAGAGCTGGAGCAAGATAAGAGGGAAGTTACCGAAAGAATTCATGTGGAAATGTCAAACAGCCAGAAGGAAAAACAGAAAGGGAAGAGCCATAGGAGGAATAATTACAGGAGTTAGGAAGGGGATAGAGGAGGTGAAAGACAATGAGAATGTTTCGGAGCTGGAGGGGATGGTACAGAGATAAATGGAGATATGGAAGAGAAGCTAAAGATGATTGTGGAGAGAATGAAAGAGAGGGATAACCAGGGAGAGCACATACTGCTGGGAGGAGACTTTAATGCGAGGACAGGTACGGAGGGTGCGCTGGTAGAAGGAATGGAAGAGGAGAAAGAGAGATGCTCAAAAGATAAGAAAATAAACAAGGACGGAAGGATTCTAATAAAGGTGATGGAAGAAGAAGGATGGGGAATAATGAACGGGAGAAAGCAGGGAGATGAGAAGGGAGAGTGGACTTACTCAGGAGGTAGAGGAGAATCGGTGATAGATTATGCAATAGGTAACATCGAGGCATGGGGAGAAGTGAAAGAGATAAGAGTAGAGGAAAGAGTGGAATCAGATCATCATCCGGTTAGCGTAAGAATAGGTAGAGAGAAAAGAGATGAGAAGAAAAGATGGAGAAGGGAGACAAGAAAAAGGATGGACTGGTCGGAAAAGGGAAGAAACACCTTCACCAGGAAGATGGATGAGCTATGTATTGAAGAGAGTGGGATAGAGAAAATGTACGAAGAACTCAGAAAGGCAGCGATGGAAGCAACATGCTGGAAGGAAAAGAGAGTGGGGAAAGGAGATTGGGGCAGATCATGGTGGTGGGATGAAGAGTGCAAGCTGAAGAACAGGGAGGTGAGAAGAGTGCTGAGGAAGTGGAGGAGAGGAGAGGTAGAAGGAAACGAATATAGGAAGATGAAGAAGGAATACAGGAAGTTATGTGAGGGAAAGAAGGAAATAGGAAGGGAGAGATTGATAGAAGAAGCGGAAGCAGCGAAATCGGAAAAAGACGTCTGGAAAATAGTAAATAGGGAGCGAAGAAGAAAGAAAGGGATAAATGAAGAAATAAGTATGAAGGAATGGAAGGAGCATTTTGAGAATCTACTGGAGGGTGACAAGCGGGGGGAGAGATGGAAAACGGAGGAGGAGGGGATAGAGATGTTGAAGGGAGATAAGATAGAGAGAGTGGAAATTAGCCAGGTAATTAAGGGTCTGAAAAAAGGAAAAGCGGCAGGAAAAGATGGGCTGGTGAACGAGATGTGGATCTACGGGGGAAAGGACAGAGGAAGCGATATGGAGGATATGTGAAGAAGTATGGGAAAAAGGGAGGATGTGCCAGAGAATTGGAGAGATGGGATAATAACACCCATAGTCAAGAAGGGTGAGGGAGAGAAGACAGAGGAACATAGAGGGATAATGCTGATGTCCACAACGTATAAAATTTACGCGGAAGTGCTGGCGAGGAGACTAAGTAAAGAAATTGAGGAGAAGAAGATACTACCAAGAGGGCAAGCAGGATTTCGTAAGGGGAGGGGGACGATTGATAATATATATGTAATAAATCATGTTATTGGAAGGGAGCTTAGAAGATATAGAGGGAAGATTGTGGCATTTTTTGTAGACCTGAAGGCAGCATTCGACAATGTAGAGAGGGAGGAGATATGGAGAGCGATGGAAAGAGAAGGAGTAAGCGAAAAACTGAGGAGGAGAATAAAAGATTTGTACGAACTGACGAGATGCAGTGTTAGGGTGGGTGAAAGAGAGAGTGAAAGCTTCACCACGTGGAAGGGAGTGAGACAGGGATACCCATTAAGCCCGATGCTGTTCAACCTAGTACTGGCAGATCTGGAGGAAACCATGGAAAAGGGACAGGATGGAGGAGTGCTGGTGGGGGGGTAAGAAAATATGGACGATTGCATACGCAGACGATTTAGTGCTCCTGGCCAAAGAGGAGAGGGAGATGAGGATGATAATGAACAGACTAGCAAGATACTTAGAGAGGAAGAAACTGGTGTTAAATGCAGGAAAGAGTAAGATAGTGAGATTTAGAAAGGGAGGGGGCGGAGAGGTGAAGATGGATTGGAGATGGAAAGGAGAAAGAATAGAGGAGGTGAAAAAGTTTAAATATCTGGGATATACATTACAGAAAAACGGACAGCGAGAAGAACACATAAGGGAGGTAGTGAAGAAGGCAACGGTGGTGATGAGAGGGGTATGGGGGATAGGCAAAAGAAGATTTGGAGGGAACTGGAAAAGAAGGAGGAAATTGTTCGAGTCATTGGTAAAGGGGGTAATGTTATATGGAGCGGAAGTATGGGGATGGAAGGAAAGAGAGAAGATAGAGAAATTGCAAGAAAAGTACATAAGATGGACTCTAGGGTTAGACTGGAGGACGCCGGCATACCTGGTCAGGGAGGAGGTCAAATGGGGGAAGCTGAGGACGGGAGCAGGTAGAAGAGCCTTGAGATATGAAGAGAAATTAAGAAGAGGGGGAGGGGGAGAGCTTGCGAGGAAATGCTACGAGGAGATAAGGAGGGGAAAAACGGGAGAAAACTCAAGATGGGAAGAGGAGAGAAAGAAATTTTTTGAGGAGAGAGGTTTCTCGACAGAAGCGATAGAGACGAGAAGAGAAATGGGTCTAGAGATAGTGGAAGAGATGACTAGGAGGGACAAGGACATTAAAAAACAGGAAAGAGAAGATAAGATGAGGAGTTCAAAGTACAACGAAAGTTATGTGAGGATAAAAACAGAGGCAGTACCGAAATACCTGAGGGAAGGAGGAAAGGACAAAAGGATGATCAGGATAGCGAGATTTAGGATGGGAAATGAGATAAGGGAAGATACTGGGAGGACGAAGAGAGAAGAGTTTGCAGGGTGTGCGGTGCAGAGGAGGAGACATGGGACCACGTTTTGAAGAGATGCGCTAAGTGGAAAGAGGACGAAAAGGAAATGAGCATGGAGGATATACTGGATGAGGGAGGAGGAGGAGATGAACGGATTAGAGGTCTCATAGGAATCAGAGAGAAGATGTCGGTAGAGGAAGGGGGGGGGGAGAAGGGGACGTGCATATAAATTAAGTTAGAATGTAAATAGGTGTATATAAAACAGAAGTCTTGTAATTTTGAAAAAGAGAAACAATAAAGATTATCTATCTATAACCGCAAAAAGTAACTGATATATTACTAAATCTGCCAGTTCAAATTGAACGTACATATAACGAATATTATCTATGTTGAATATGTACCACGAAAAAGAACTGATAGATTATTCAAGATGCAAATTCAAATTGAACATACATACATATAAGTAAACCAGATTAGAATTTGTATATTACAGTTTTCTAGAAAATAACTGCAATATGTTATTCTTAGTGCACAAAATATAAAAGTTGGTTACTGAGATTTAATTTGAAATTTATACTAGGCCGTACAATAAAAAATAAATGCTTGTAATTTCAGAGTGTCAATTTGTTAATGACTCAAAAAAGAACATGGCGGCCTGCTCTCAAACTTTGATGAGTTTCTCGATGTCAAAAGTAATGTCAACACTATTACAGAGTAGGTATAACAACACATGAAATACAAAAAGTATTGCATTAGAACCGTATCTTTAAAAGCTCTATAACGAAGTGAATACACAGAATTATGTAGAAATGTAGAATTTTTCTTCTTTAATTTTTAATTCTCCCTCTGCCAATCAATGGTTAAAGCGAATATTTAAATTAATCATTATCGAAACACTGTTACATTTTGTAGCACTTTGTGAACCAACTGACAAACAACATACATGATAACTATGATAGTTATACTTGGTAGGCTGCTTTTAATCTAAACTATTTTCATAACTTTTACTTCAACTATTCGTTTCATCCATCGGAAGTTTTTTGAGAGCAGGCCGCCATGTTCTTTTTTGAGTCATTAATAAATTGATACTCTGAAATTACAAGCAATTATTTTTTATTGTACGTCCTAGTATAAATTTCAAATTAAATGTCAATAACCAACTCTTACATTTTGGGCACTAAGAATAACATATCGCAGTTATTTTCTAAAAAACTGTAATATACAAATTCTAATCTGTTTTACTTATATATATGTATGTTCAATTTGAATTTGCA